TAATTTTAAATTTAACTTTAATTATTTAATTTAAATATTTTAATAAAAAATCATTATAAAAAATTTAAAGATTAATAAAAAATAATATAAAATACAAAATTTAATATAAAAAACTAGTTAATTAATATTCTTAAGGTTCTTAATTAATTAGTTTGTGTATATAACAAGTAAAAATTCTTTTTTTTTTTTTTTAATGATGATATGTTTTGGTTCTTAACTCAAACTGGGATGCTTATGGAGGAAATAAGAATTAAGTTAAGAATTTTTTTTTTAACTTTTTAATGTTAGTGATCAAATTTTAAACCTGAGACTAAAAAGAAATATGAACATTTGTTGAAGGACTTCTTCCCGTTCTAGAAGGTTTTTTTTTTTGGGAATTTTCTTCTAGAATCTTCCTAAATCACCATACATCATGATATGGGAAGACGTCTTTCCATTTTCGATTTTCGAAACCTTATTTGGAAACATTAAATATTCCTTTTCTGTTCAGATTCAGAAAGCATAAACATTAACGTTTAAATAATATGAAACGTTAAGAGAGAAATTAGATTATCTTATTAGCCGGAAAGATAATAGCGAGATCGATGAGCAGCAGGCAGAGTTGGCCGGATAGAGTGTTCGACAGGAGCGAACATCAGGTGGATGAGGAGGAGGAGGAGTTACAATGGGCTGCCCTCGAACGGCTACCCACCTATGACCGGTTGAGAAAGGTGGTGCTCAGTCAGGTTCTTGAAAATGGCAGTGTTGTTTACAACGAGGTTGATGTCACCAACCTTGGAATGCAACAGAGGAAGCAGTTGACGGACTGCCTGTTGAAGGCCGTTGAAGAGGACAATGAAAAGTTTCTCAGGAGATTAAGGGACAGGATTAATAGGTGAATCCGTTTTCAGAAAAATGTTCATTATTGTTTTACCCCACCGGATATGTGTGTAATGAGTATGCATTTAGTCATTTAAATTAATGGCTAAGTTTGATCTTTGATTGAGTGCAGGGTGGGGCTAGAGGTTCCAAAGATTGAAGTTAAATATGAGCATTTATCGGTGGAGGGGGATGTGCGAATTGGGAGTAGAGCTCTTCCTACTCTACTCAATGCTACCTTGAACACAATAGAGGTATCTGATTTTTTTTTTTTTTTTAATAATTTGAACATCAAAATCATTTTCTTTAAAATGAGATGCTGATTTAAAATCATCAAAATCAAAATCATTTCTCAATAGAATTCTCATAAAAGTTTACTTTAATTAAAAACTATTAGATTTAAAAGTTTGATTTTGAAAGATTATTATGATTTAAACCTTAAGGACATATAAATAGTGGTTGATTATACTTATTTGAAATACTAATAAATTCAAATTGATGAAATTCAACTTCTCTTAAATAAAATCTCAAATTTAAATCTTGTAAATAAAAACAATTTTCACCTTGTGGAATTCAACTTGGCATAACTTTAGATTAGTTGGGTTCAATTTGATTTTTGAATATAAAAAAATTTAGTACATAAATATAGTAATTTGAAATAAGTAATTAACAGTTTTACCTAATTTAAACCATATTCCCTTTATTACAAAATAACTATTATTTTTTTATTTTGAGTTTGTCCCAAAATTATTTCTCATTTTTTAATTTTTTAAGATAAACAAATATTTTTCTCACTTTAATTGTATTATTATCTATTTATTTTGATTAATTATTCTTTCACAAGAAGTTTTACTTTTTCTTTTAGCATTTTGATTATGAGTAATATAAATAGGAGATTTTCGACCTTATGCGGACACATTAAGTTTTATTAATTGTAGTATTTATAATTAATTTTATATAAATTTTTATTAAAAAAATTAAATAAAATGTAATATAAAATATAAAAATATAATATTTGTATTCAAAATCTATAAAAATATATGAATTTGATATCAAAATTTTTGAAAAACTAATTAAAAATATTTTAATTAGTAAGTATTTAACCTATGCTACAAGATAAATCCTATAGGTAAATATATAAATGCTCCTCAAATATTTAATCTGCCAAAAAAATATAAATTTGATAAATCCTATAAGTAAATACATAAACTATCTCTAAATGTTTAATTTAGAGAAAAAAAAAAAAGAAAAAGAAAAAAAGAAAACCATAGTTGTGATGATAGAGGGAGTAAATGTTTGGAATGTTATCATTTGCCCATTAGAGCCTGAACCATTCTCCAGATCCAGCCCAGCATTCAGTTAGTCTGACCCAGAATTTCTGTGATTATTGGCCCAAAAAAATAGCCTCGCCCAGAATCTAAATCCATTAGTAGTCCCTTTCGCACGCGCCTCCTGAATCTCTTCACGCGCCGTCACCAGAGTTAACCTTCAACCTTCAACTGTGAAATCTTGTTCGATCCGCAGGTGTTTCACCGATGATCGATCCGTCGTCCACTGTTCTTTCCATCGGTGCATCAGCTCCGATCCATATCTAGCCGCCGTTCGATCATAGAATGGCATCGGTTTCTCCTCCTCACATCATGAGCAATTCGGCTTCGGCCACAGTTGTAGCAGAAATGATTCGATCTCTCAAACTTAAGTTGCATCCGAACAGTATCCTTCCCTTCCATAGGCAGCCAAAAACCAGTCAGATGAGGTTTTGCAGCATCTCCAGTTCTCCATTCGAAAACGAAGGAAACTGCAGATTATACCTCTCCGGCTCTCCCTGCCCTCGGATTCTCCACCTCCGTCACCTCCTGTACACCAGAATCAATGTCAATCCCATTCTTTTTAGTGAGCATCTCCAGAGGCCAGTTCTGTGCCTGAATCTCGAACGTGAAACCAAGCGAAAGGCGAAAAGGCGCTCCCTAGGGAGCGGAAATCTCTCAGTGGGAGAGGATTGGTTTTTAAATGATTACTAACTAAATTTTCCATTTTATTTGGGCAATAGAGCATTCTGGGATTGATTCGGCTTGCACCGTCTAAGAAGAGAAAGATTCAGATACTTAAAGATGTTAGTGGAATAGTCAGACCATCAAGGTAAATTTTTTTTCGAAATCCTCAATACAGTTGTTGATTCTCTGCGTTTTCTTTTTCACCATGCATGCAGCTTAACTAACATAGATTGTTATGAATTTTTACATTGAAATTTTCAGGATGACCCTACTGCTTGGTCCTCCAGGAGGAGGGAAAACAACATTACTGCTGGCACTTGCTGGAAAGCTTCATCGCGATCTAAGGGTGCGTTTTCAATCTGTAAAATTTATTTCATAGCGTTTTTGAACAATTTATTTTGAGTATATGATTGTTTGTAGTATCTCCTTGTGATGAATTGAAATTGTGTACAGGAGACCGGGAAAGTCACATATTGTGGTCATGATTTGAATGAGTTTGTTCCTCGAAGGACCTGTGCTTATATTAGTCAACACAATCTTCACTTTGGTGAAATGACAGTGAGGGAGACATTGGATTTCTCAGGACGCTGTTTAGGTGTTGGTGCCAGATATGAGTTGCTGGCAGAGCTCTTGAGGAGAGAGAAAGAAGCAGAAATTAAGCCTGATCCCGAGATTGATGCCTTCATGAAGGCTGCAGTAGTGGCAAGCAAAGAAACTAGCTTGATCACAGATTATGTTCTTGAGGTTTGTTTTCTTAGGCCCCAGAAGTGGTTACAAAATCTGTTTATTTTTCTATTTAATATGTTAGTTCCTAGAAACAAACTGACATTTAAGTCTCTGATAGATACTTGGATTGGACATTTGTGTGGATACTATGGTTGGGAATGAGATGCGAAGGGGTATTTCTGGTGGACAAAAAAAGCGTTTGACTACAGGTATGTTTTGGTTGTACAACATCAATACTAATACTTTTTTTTTTCTTGCAACACAATATATTTATTTGTCTCATATTTCTAAGTCATTCATGCTGAAGTTTCCAGATTCATTGTTGATAATGTAGCTTCTCTGTACTCTTTCTTGTTCCAAGCTCCTGATTTCCTTTCAAACCTCATTTGAATTTTCTTGTTGGTACTTCTTTGCCATCTTTTCCTTGTACTTCTATGTCCAATCATCAGGCGCCATCAAACTTTTTATCTAAATTTTCCATGCTTGTTGTTTCACTTGTTTGCTAGCTGGTAATTCTCCAACTTCTTAAATAATATTTTCTTTTCTTCTTTTCTTCTTTTTTCTTATTCATATAGCTTGCATCTAAGAACTTATTAGAGTAAATTGCCATTCTAATATGTTTTTGTGTAAATTGAGTGCAGGAGAGATGTTGGTTGGACCAGCAATGGTTTTCTTTATGGATGAAATATCAACAGGGTTGGACAGTTCTACCACTTTTCAGATTTGCAGATACATGAGGCAAATGGTTCATATCATGGATGTAACCACGGTCATTTCACTATTACAGCCAGCACCAGAGACGTTTGATCTTTTTGATGACATTATCCTACTTTCAGAAGGTCAAATTGTCTACCAGGGCCCGCGTGATAAGGTCCTTGAGTTCTTTGAATATATGGGCTTCAAATGCCCTGAAAGGAAAGGAGTTGCTGACTTTTTGCAAGAAGTAATCTCAAAGAAAGACCAAGAACAATATTGGGTCAGCAAGAACCAACCTTATAATTATGTTTCAGTTCCTGAGTTTGTGCAGGGCTTCTACTCTTTCCACATTGGCCAACAGCTTACATCAGATCTCAGAGTTCCTTATGATAAATCCCAAATCCACCCCGCAGCATTAGTCACAGAAAAATACGGAATTTCAAAATGGGAATTGTTCAGGGCATGTTTTTCAAGGGAGTGGCTATTAATGAAGCGCAACTCTTTTGTATATATATTCAAGACTACCCAGATAACAATCATGTCTTTGATTGCCTTCACAGTGTTCTTCAGAACACAGATGCCAGTGGGCACTATAGAAGATGGACAGAAATTTTTTGGAGCTCTTTTTTTCAGTTTGACCAATGTCATGTTTAATGGAATGGCGGAACTTGCATTGACTTGTTTCAGGCTTCCTGTCTTCTATAAACAGAGGGATTTATTTTTCTATCCTGCTTGGGCTTTTGGCCTACCTATATGGATTCTTAGGATCCCATTATCACTTATAGAATCAGTGATATGGATTGTCCTTACATACTACACTATTGGCTTTGCTCCTGCTGCTAGCAGGTAAATAGCCATTGAATAACTTCAATTTAGATGCTTCTTGAGCATCAAGTTATTGACAGTTGGATTGCTTTTGGATTTTATAAAGGTTTGACTTATGGAATATGGATGTTATGGGCATTATGATTTCTTTGACTAAACACCTGTTTTCCCTTATGTTCAAGGTTCATCCGACACTTTTTGGCTTTATTTGGCACACATCAGATGGCTCTATCGCTCTTTCAGTTCATTGCTGCAGTGGGAAGAACAGAAGTTGTTGCAAACACACTGGGTACCTTCATCTTGCTAATCGTCTGTGTGCTCGGAGGTTTCATTGTTTCCAAAAGTAAGTAGTTAGAACCTTTTTGCCTAACAAGTAGTTGAGAGCCTGATATTCTTAGTGGTTTTTATTCATATATATATATATATGAGTAAGGATCCATTTACACATAAGTCCTTACACACTATACTTACATAAAATTTCAACCATTTATCTCTCCACTTTTAGTGGTTGAGATTTGTTCACATTTATTAAAGGTAATTATCTCTTTCATCTAAAAAGTCGTGATAAATCTCAACCATTGACAGTGGAAAGATGAATGGTCAAGATTTTGTGTAAGTGTGATGTATAAGATTTGTATGTAAGTGGATCCCTACTTGCTCTCTATATATATATATTAGATGACAGGTATACTCTTTTTTTTTTTTTTTCCTTTGCTTTTCATTTTGAACATTTGCTTCGGTCAAGCATTCTGAGTCTCTGACCCTTTGTCCTTGCAGATGACGTTGAACCTTGGATGCTATGGGGATACTATGTTTCTCCATTGACGTATGGGCAGAATGCCATTTTCATAAATGAATTTCTTGATAAAAGATGGAGTGCGGTAAGATCTCTTAAAATTTGATTGTCTTAATTTGTTGATTCAAGTCTCATCTGTAGTATATGGAGCCATTTTCATGAGTAAGCTCTTGGTTGGCATTTTTTATTTTCTTGACCATGAGCTAAATATCAATTTTTTACAAAATTTTGTTCCCTTCAGAAAAATAATGATTCCAGATTTACCGCACCTACTGTTGGAAAAGTTCTTCTTGGGACTAGAGGCTTTTTTACAGAAGATTATTGGTTTTGGATCAGCATTGGGGCACTATTTGGGTTTTCTGTTCTATTCAACATATTATTCATTGGAGCATTGACTTTCTTGAATCGTAAGCTTCATAATCTTATCTGCAGTTGTTTTCTTTCCTGGCCGCTCATCTGCAGTTATTGTTTGTTTTTAATGAAATTTCAGTGTTGGTGAAACCTTTTACATGGATTAATTTTCAGCTCTGGGCAATTCCAAAGCAGTTGTGGATGAAGATGACCACAAGAGTAAGAAGTTAGCTTCTGGACAACATAGAAGAGAAGGTTTAAGCCCTGAAACTCTGCCGTCTTTTCCTTCCCTTATTTTCCTTTCCTCCCTGCAATTGAATTAAATGATTCGATTACATGGCAGCCAAGTAAATCCTGTTTTCTTCCAAAGATAGATGTTATGGTAAACATGATATGAAATAATGTATAATCTACATCTTATCTTATCAAACAATAAAAGTCTTTCGAGATGAAGTGGTGTGGAAAATAAATTCCAGTATTTTATCCTCTTTAATTAACTGACTCTTTGAGCTGTTGCAGGTATTGATTCACCTGGAGAAAGATCTTCAGAAATTATTGATTCTACAGATCATGCCCCTAAAAGGGGAATGGTTTTGCCTTTCTGTCCCCTTTCACTCATATTTGACCATGTGAACTACTATGTGGATATGCCTGCCGTAAGTTATTTGCAAACATTTTATTTCAATTGAGAAAACTTCTATTTTTATATGCAGAAATTGAAAGTAAAATATGGGTTGTGCCAGGAAATGAAGAGTCAAGGCATTAAAGAACACCGTCTTCAACTGCTAAGAGATGTCAGTGGTGCTTTCAGACCAGGGATATTGACAGCACTAGTGGGTGTCAGTGGTGCTGGGAAGACCACTCTGATGGATGTTTTAGCTGGAAGGAAAACAGGTGGTTACACTGAAGGAAGTGTTTTTGTCTCTGGTTATCCAAAGAACCAAGCTACATTTGCTCGTGTGAGTGGTTACTGTGAACAGAATGACATTCATTCACCTTATGTCACCATTTATGAATCTCTACTGTACTCAGCCTGGCTTCGTCTTTCTTCAGAAACAGACTCTAAGACACAAAAGGTATGTTTTATAAATTTTAAATTTTGATAGTGTACTTATTACCTTAACTTCTTGTTTATGCTTACATATTGTTTTTTTTTTTCTTCCATACAGATGTTTGTTGAAGAAGTTATGGAGTTGGTCGAGCTCAACCCCATAAGAGATGCTCTAGTTGGCCTTCCAGGAGTAGATGGTCTTTCAACAGAACAAAGGAAAAGGTTAACTATAGCAGTAGAGTTGGTTTCTAACCCCTCCATCATCTTTATGGATGAACCAACATCTGGACTTGATGCCAGAGCAGCTGCCATTGTCATGCGTACGGTAAGAAATACTGTGGATACAGGGAGAACTGTTGTGTGCACAATTCACCAGCCCAGCATAGACATCTTCGAATCTTTTGATGAGGTATATATCTATTTTACAAACAAATTTATTTCCAGAATATTGCAACTCTTTTGTTCCCTTCTTGTTACATGCATTTGGCTATTTTATGCTGTGGCAGTTGCTTTTGATGAAAAGAGGGGGACAAGTTATTTATGGCGGACCTCTTGGTCATCACTCTCACAAACTCATAGAGTATTTTGAGGTGGGCATTGTGCTTGTAAATGTGTAACATTGACTCACAACAAGAGAAACTTCAGCTTGTACCAAAATGTATGTTCTGTGTTTCAGGCTCTCCCAGGGGTTCCAAAAATCAAGGAGGGATATAATCCTGCAACATGGATGCTTGAGGTCACTGCTCCAACAGTTGAGGCTCAACTGAAAGTGGATTTTGCGGAAATTTATGCCAATTCCTCACTGCATCAGTAAGTGTTAATTTACACCCATCATTTTTCATCAAATGGCCAAGGATTTTTAGTTTTCATTGTTCTAAATTTCTTTGCACCAAACTTGCAGGAGGAATCAGGAACTTCTCAAAGAGCTTAGTACTCCAGCTCCAGGATCCAAGGATCTCTACTTCTCAACCAAATATTCTCAACCATTCCTTATTCAGTGCATGGCTTGTTGCTGGAAACAGCATTGGTCTTACTGGAGGAATTCTCAGTATAATGTTAACCGGTTCTTCATTACCATAGTCATTGGTATCTTATTTGGTCTAATCTTCTGGAACAAAGGACAAAAGACGTAAGCCTTATTTCTATTATAGTATTATATATTTGTACTGTTACAATTTTTAATTTTCCTACTATGGGATGAAGATTTGGCTTCTGGATCAAAATTACCTGAATTTTATTGTCCACAGAACAAAGCAGCAAGATTTGACTAATCTCCTTGGAGCTATATATGCTGCTGTGTTTTTCCTTGGTGTCTCCAATGCTTCTGCCGTGCAACCTGTTGTTTCAATAGAGAGAACAGTCTTCTACCGTGAAAGAGCAGCTGGGATGTATTCTGCACTGCCTTATGCAGTCGCTCAGGTGATTAGTACCCAATAACTAAATTTACTCATTGACAGAGTGAATCTGTATGGTTGAGAAAACTAGAAAACTAAATGCTTGTTAATTTTCCAGGTTGTCATAGAAACAATCTACATTGCAATTCAAACCATTGTTTACACTCTGCTTCTTTATTCGATGATTGGGTTTGAGTGGAAGGTGGAGAAGTTCTTCTGGTTCAACTACTACATATTTATGTGCTTCGTCTACTTCACATTGTATGGGATGATGGTTGTTGCACTGACTCCTAGCTACCAAGTTGCCGCCGTTCTTTTGGCCTTCTTTGTCAGCTTCTGGAACTTGTTCTGTGGTTTTCTCATTCCTAGGACGGTAAGCAATCTTTTAAGTCACTACTATAATATCTTCAGATGCCTAGAATTTAGTCAAACTTGTTTTGAACAGACCAACTGAAAATTTCTCCCTTCATCCTACACAGCAAATCCCTATATGGTGGAGGTGGTACTATTGGGCTTCCCCTGTGTCATGGACAATCTACGGTCTTATAACCTCCCAACTGGGGAATAAAAATGCTCTTCTTGAGATACCGGGAGCTGGTAATGTACCATTAACGGCATTCCTCAAGCAGAGCTTGGGATTCGAGTACGATTTTCTTCCTGCTGTTGCCTTTGCTCATCTTGGTTGGTGTTTACTATTTGTTTTTGTGTTTGCCTTTGGCATCAAGCTCTTCAATTTTCAAAGGAGATAACCAGCTTCCTTCTGAAGAGAAGCAGACAAACAACCAATGGCCAACCTCAAGTATTTCTTTCATGAAAGTAAAATTCTTTGTCAATAAATCAATGTATTACATTTGGAAGGTAATATAAATTACACCCAGAATGCCATTAGGAACAAAATGTCTACACCTTCTGGTTAGACACCAATTTTATTGATAAAGTTTTGCAATGATATTTTGTTGGAATTTTATTGTGTTATTAATTTTTCTGTAATTGGTAAAAATTAACATAAAAAAAAATTAACCTATAAGGAAATTTGAGGCAAATTTTTTTGGGAAAAAATTGAAAAAATAAAGATAAAAATATCATTTTTATCTTTTTATTATTGTAATATTAATGAATAAAAGTATATAAATAACTTCTTAAGAAGTAGATTTTTTAAATTTCTTTTAATTTTAAATTTTATATTAAATATTAATTAATTTAAAATCAAATCAGATTAAACCATATAAAAAAATTAAATTTCTTTTTACTTAAATTAACATAGTAATCGGTGTTTCTCCCATTTCTTGGCAATACCACGACAGTAATTTTATAATAAGAAGTGCAATTTGCGTTCAAAAACAGAATCAACCAGTGTTTTTCATATTTTTTTTATTAAAAATATTTTAATAAATTTATAAAATAAACTGTATTAAAATAATTCAAACCATAAATAATGAATTCTAAAACAAAATACAGATGTAATTTTATTTTGACGATGGTTTAGTGCGGTTCTCCTTGTCTTGTATGCGAGAAATTAGGAAAATTATTTTTGTATATTTTTTTTTATATTTTTGTATAATTTAATTGTCATTAAAATAATTAATTTTTTTATTTTAATTTATATAAAATTTATAATATTAAATATATTTATTTATCTAATAATATGTAAAAATTATATAAAAAATAATATAAAATTTTTTTTCTGTAACACCATCCGAGAAATTATAGTATATGCACCGGATGCCACTGACCCACCCAACAAAAATACACCAATTCAACCTTTTTTTTTTTTACCACATCAGCGGTATCCCGGGGATACACCGGAATTTCTCCTTGTATGCACTGGACTGCACTTCAGTTTTCTGTAATGCTTTTCTCATAATTTCGCTTTTCTTTTCCATAACTACTAATTCTCACCACTTCAATTAAGATAAGTTATGGCTTCGAACGTCAGTACCAAACCAAGAACGGTAATCTGTGTGGGTGACGTCCATGGCTACGTCACCAAGCTCCTCAACCTCTGGTCCAGCCTCCAATCACACATCGACCAAGAATCCTTCAATTCCGCCACCGTAATCTTCCTCGGTGACTACTGTGATCGTGGACCGGATACCCGCAAAGTCATAGATTTCTTGGTCTCTCTGCCAACAAATTACCCTAACCAGAAGCACGTTTTTCTCACCGGAAACCACGACTTCGCTTTCTCCGCTTTTGTCGGGACCTTGTCGGAAGGCTTCGACGCGAAGGAGACGTGGAGGGAGTATGCGGTCAGTGAGGACAGAGAAGGGTGGTATAAGGGTGACGGGTATGAGAGAATGCATTTGCAAGGGAGGAGGTGGGCTGGTTCTATAAAAGTTAGGTTTAATTCTGTTAAAGGGACTGAGTATAAGGGTTCTATTTATGATGCTGCTCCTACTTTTGACTCCTATGGAGTGCCTCACGGATCTGCTGGTAATGCATGGTTTAATTTTCTTTATGGGTGTTCCCCAAAAAAGGAATCTTGAATTTGTTTCCTTTCTGTTTTATATGTTCAATTTGGTATTTTCTTGGTTTGATGCTTATTCCTGGTTATGCATATGTTGATTGAATGATTGTGGCTTTTAGAGATGATTGAACTAATTCAATGATTAAGAAGTTGTGGATATCTTTTATGGATAGGTTGCTGTGTTTGATTGCAATGGTTCTTAACTGTATGTTGAAGTTGGGCTTTTGTGTTTCAGTTTGATTCTTGTTTATGCAATGGTATTTGAGATTCTGTGTTTTGTTGGTGTGGTCGGAGTATTTACTTGCAAATTGATACTTGATTTGTTTGATGTTCATGGTGGTTTACTCGGAGAGTGCTTGTATTTGATACCTTGATTGTTCATGGTTGTATATGTCCTGAGTGCTTGGTATGATAGGTATCTTTCCTAGTTGTTTCTTTTCAATCACTTGTTGCCATTGAGGGGACACCGTTCTCCATGGTTGAATTTTAGGTTAGAAACGTGGTGATTGGGTACTTCTATTGAATTGAAATTATTCTTACCCCTTTTTGCATTTTATGTGGAGACACTTTTTCATGTAATGGCTATTTAAGTTATCTTGTTAATCATGAATGGACTCTTGTTGTGTAAAGATTTGGTAAAGGCAGTTCCTGAAGACCACAAGAAGTTTCTAGCTGATATGCTTTGGGTCCACGAAGAGGTATGGTTTCTTTTCTATGTCTAGGCTTTCAGGACACCAATTGTGTGATGATAATGTGATGAATGGTTGAGCACAACGAGTTGTGAAAGAAAAGTGAATTTAATGCAATATTATGAGTTTTCTAGAAAACAAAAAGTTTGCTAATCAGTCATAAACTTACAGTTTAATGTCTAAAGTGAACTTTTAACCAAAAGGTTGAAAGTTTTTGGTTAAAAGTTGGTGGATGTGTGTTGCTAATATGCTTTTTTCCAGGATGATGTCTGTATAGAGACTGACGAAGGACTTAAACATTGTAAATTGATTGCTGTCCATGCTGGATTAGAAAAGGAGAAAAATGTTGAAGATCAACTGAAATTTTTGAAAGCCAGAGAAGCCTGGGTGCCCAAGATAGAGGCTCTTAGTGGGAGGAAGAGTGTGCATGACATTCCAAAGGTCATCACTGTTCTGACACAGCTCTTTTTCATCCCTTCTCAGTTTTTAATGCTAGCGTTCTTTATTCCATTAGCGTTTCCACTAGTATGAAAATATTATGCTGCTTTTTTTCACTGAGTTATGAATATGATAATGTGGTTTCTGATGATTATGGAGTTGACTGAAGTTCAGTTTTTGGTGTTGGATGTATTTTAGGAGCTAAGTGAAACTATTGTGGTAAGTGGGCACCATGGAAAACTTCATGTTGAAGGCCTTAGGCTGATTATCGATGAAGGTGGAGGACTAGAGAATAATCCAGTAGCTGCAATTGTGCTTCCCTCGAAGAAGATAATCCGTGACACAGATAATTTGTCAAAGTAGTTCCATGTTTCAATATTTCCAGATTAGCAAAGCATAATATCCATGCCTGTATTATATTCTCTCATCACAAAATAGAAATGAAACCACAGAATGGAGGCACTCAATTAGTTTTCCGTGTAACAAGTTGGTTTTATGATCTTATATAGGCAGTTGATATTCGTCGGATTATGCAGTTCGCATCATGTAAATTCTTTGAATGAGCCATTGTGCTGCTTGGATGTCTTCTGCTGATAAAGCTTTATGGATGTGTGTAAAGAATCTACATATTGCCTTGAAGGCATTGGTGATGTCAAAAGGAATAACATAGAATTCAGATTTCTCTGTGACTCTAGCTGAGAAAACTGAAGTTCACTCATTATCAGAACTTTGCAGAGCTGGATGCATTGTCCTTGCCGTGGACAATGCCAATGTCTACAGCTCCATTTCTGTTCCAGTCTTTTTT